TCATGAGCCCTTGATAGTTTATAAATTGTTATTTTGTCATATCTTGCCCTGTCCGACGTTTCCCTTCACCCACTTTTCGGTTGTCCGACTCACTATATTATTTTTTATATATTATTTTATTCATTCCATTAGCTTTCTCCAAAATAGTACTGAGGCATATAGAGCTTAAAGAAATAAGCTCATCTATTTGGTAAAGAGTATACGTTTTATCCTTGTATTAATGAAGTCATTATTCATAAAAATAATATTGAAAATTAAGATAGAAAGGAGATGGGGAAAAGGTAGAATTAAAGAAGGGAAATAATATTCACTGAACTGTTAAACATGCCTGAAAGACTTCTATACTTCCCCAGTGATTCACAAAACAACCCATGAGGTTTATGTCCATAGTATAAGTGAGGCATTAACAATACCTTAGGTAGATTAAAAATGCTTATACAAGAGAGAACTAACAAACAGCAAAGCCTTGATTTGAATGCTTACCAATCTGGCTCTGGTGGCCCACACTACTGGAATCTCACCTACGATTTTACTCTGAGGTCAAATCGGTTACGTATTCTGTGTTGTATGCTTTCCTATTACATGATAACACTTTAATTTCTAATATAAGAAATATGTTTACCCCATTCATGTGATTAAAAAAAACAATACTCTACAGGACCAAACCAGTTTCAGCTTGTCAGCTGATTTCATTTGCTCTGCTGAAAAAGAACCATCTGCAGGTCTCTAGGCTCTCTGTCTTGAGCTATGAACAAGTATAAAGACAGCACACCACTGTGCTGGCTTCTACTCATAGAACACATGACCTACGTGCAACTCAGACCACTGAGTGTGCACAAGCTTGCAATCCTTTTTATAGGGACTAAAATTATCAGCATTCATCATTACACATGTAACATTTTTATGTTAATATAAAATATTTATATTTTTATTTATCATCTATATATTGATTATGGAGCCCTTGTGGAGTAGCAGTGACAAATTAAACTGCAAGATCAGCAGTTCAAAACCACCAAATATGAGGGGGTACCCCCCAAAAAACCAGAATTTCCCCCCCAAAGTTATGTATTCAAATTTCTTTATAAAACTACCTTATCACCTTTCATGTACTCTCTATAATACATTTGTCAAATCCATGATTCCAATCTTGGAAACATTTTTCAAACTCATCTGTTTGGAGGGCTGACGGCACCTTCCTCGTTTTTTTTTCATCATCTCTTCTACATCACTGTCAAATCGCTGTCCTTTTATGTCCCTCTTCATTTGCGGAAACAAAAAGAAGTCACATGGAGCGAGGTCAGGTGAGTAAGAGAGCCTACATTATTTGCCCAAACCTGGCATACTGAGATGGCTGTGAGCAGGTGCACTGTCATGGTGGCAGATGGTCCCCCTTCTGCCACAAATCAGGCCTTCTGAGTGGTACACTGTCACCCAATCTTTTCAGAACCTCTGATTTAACAGTCTGACCTAGTGGAACAAATTCCAAATGCACTATCCCCCTCACATAAAAAAAACCAAACAAATTAGCACTGTCTTGATCTTTAATTTTACTTGAGGAGGTTTTTTTTGGGGGGGCGAGGTGACGCTGGCATCTTCCATTGGCTTCATTGATGTTTGCTTTCAGGGTCGTCACCAGTAATGACCCTGGGAAAAAAGTCTGGGTTGGTTTGGAGCTGTTCTTTCAAAGCACAGCATGTTTCCACTTGACCTCTTTTTCCTGGTCAGTCAGAACCTGAGGCACAAATTTCGCAGCAACCCTTCTGATTCCAAAATCTTCTGTTAAAATCCCATGAACTGAGCTCTAAGATAGTCCAGATTACTTCCCCATCTTTTCAATGGCCACTGTCAGTCTTTGAGCACAAGGGCACAAATGTTGTCGACATTTTTGTCTGTTCAGGAAATTGATGGACATCCAGAATGAGGTACACCCAAAGAAATACATGTGCATGTATGTATTGTATAATGCAAAGCCCTTTAATATCGCACTCCATCTACAAAACCAAACAATACTAAGGAGGGCAAGTATTTCTATTTGGCAGGTTATATGAAGTGGACCTCCATTTCTCATTAAAACAAAAATGTTATGGGGCTAACAGTAGCATTTTTCTAGATCATGAGAACTATAATCCCATTACATAAACCTGTGCTCATCTTTCTCCTTTAGATGACTGAGAATGAAATATCTGAGAAGAACTAGAACATTCATAGAGGCTGCACTGTAATCTGATGAAAATATTAGAAATGAGAGTGCGAACCAAAGTCTAAGACCATTGCATCCTTTACAATTGTCGACTCAGGACTGAAAAAAGGAAAAGGAAAGAAACAACACTACCATTTCAAAATAAGAGGGTGACATGGTGTGTACTACTGCTCATGCAAGGTTCTACCATGTTGTGGGTTGTAATCAGAACTTCATTAAAAGAAGTGGCATCAGGAATGTCTCTACAAAAGGGGTGCACAAACTGACAATAACTATGAGAGTTTTATTACAGATCTGGAACCTCGGGCTTGTTAGCCTTCTCTTACAAGGGAAAGACTCGTATGCTTTTAAAGAAAAGTTATCTTTTTGCAGTTATATATACACTTATATGGTATGCATTCAGGCTAACAAGAAGCAGTACTAGAGGCTAGATACAAAGATGACTAAAACAAAGGCCCTTCCCTAAAATTTTTATAAACTAAGTAAGGTCCAGATGTCTTTTGGTGTAAAAACTTCTCTTGAAAACGTCTATATGATATGATATAAAGCTGAGATATTTTACCAGATAAGTAGTTTATCATTTCACATGCAAAATCTCTCAGAAATTCTAAACATTTCAACTGCTGATAAATATTTTTCTACATTTAAGCAGATTTCTGTTTTATTAAACAGGAGAGTTTGAAAAATATGTCCTGATTACTTCAAGTCATCATTATGAAGATTCTCTGTAGCACTGTATATATTGGCTATATGGTGATGGGCCAAATCCTTAGAGATATACTCAAAGCTAAAGCTCCTGCAACTACGAAACACATCATCAATGCCACTTTCCCTCCAGGACCTCTGAGGTAGTTAGTTTAGTGCACCAACCTGGGCGATAAACACATGTGGGATTAAATGAAGGGCAGAGAGATAAATGGCTCGGTGAGCCTTGTCTTTCTAGTTCGCCAGTCTCTTGCTTTCTGATGGTTAGGTCAGGGTGCAGCTGCCTTAGCCAGTTCTCAAGGCTCACTTCCTACAAGACATCCCCGAGGAGAAGCCACATGGACCTACACCGATGCAGGTCTGGGTGTGGAGACCCTTGCCAGCGCTGAAATGTTGACACATTCATTGACTTGGCTTTCCTCCTGCAGTCAACATCACTGTGTGTGTTTTGTGAGATGGAGGAGGACTTTGTGGATTGGTATTGGACACATATGGGTTAATGGGTTAATGTTGGACTTGTGGGCTTGGACAGGACGGGGTTGGGATGTTTTCTTGATGCGCACTTAACCTTTATATAAAACTCTCTCTTATACATGAGTTGCTGTGGATTTGTTTCTCTAAAGTACCCAGACTAACACAACCTCTCTTTTTAGTTCTTTTCTCCTAAGTGGCAAAAATTTAGATATCAAACAAAAAAATACTTATATATCATCATAAATTAACTATCAGTTAATTTGTTGTCTAGGGGCTGCTGCTTCCAAGTTTGGGGCCAGATTCTACAGGAAGGGTCCCCATCTTTGAAGATGAAGTATTATCCTGGAGGTTTCACTGCATTTATCACATTTATCAACTTATGATAAGTAAATTACATATGTATGAATTCCGTAATACTTCTTAATAGATTTGCGATGCATCTATACCCACGTGATTTTTCAGTAAGTCTATAGTCTCCCTAAACAGAATTCGGGTAGGCAAATGATCTCTGGTAGATAATCTACGGCCCAGGGAGCCGCAGTTATAACAGACACCTTGGAGGCACAAAAGGAGCCCTGGTGATGCCGTAGGGTAAACGCTTAAATAACCATAGGGTCAGTGGTTCAAACCCACCAGCTGATCCACAGACTAGGGGGCTGCGATCTCATAACGATGTGTATTCTTGGAAACCACAAACAGGTTGCTATGACAGGAGTCAGAGTAGACTGGATGGCAGTGGTGGTGGTGCATTTAGAGACCTAGTATTTACTAGGCACCCTTTAGAAAGTTGCTCTTTGGCAACTTTCAGTAAGAAGAGGGTTATGGGTTATTATCTATTGGCATATAAAAAACTACTTACTCATTTCTGGTTCAGCAGTGAGATCTGCAGTCACAAAATTGGAGGGAAACAACCCCATGCCTTGATGTGTTTCACCTTTCCACCAGTTGGGGTCACTATGATGAATTTAAAAAGAAGATTTTAACTCTATAAATCTTTCTTTGGTCTATTGTTTAACTTACATCATTACCAGATTTAAACATCCAAATAATCCAATCAAGGGGGTCTTGAATGTGTCCTAACTACAAAGAAAAACTGAGACCTTAGGGAAGATAAGGTGCTTCTAAACACACAGTCCTTTATCTTTATGAAAGTTGGTAAACACTGAAATTAATAAAAGCTATGGGCTCTCTCCCAGAAAGGGGGGCCCACACTTAGTAAGCCACCTCAACAGAACACATGTGACAGATTAATACCAGAGACAGAAAAAGAGGTTCATGAGGAAAACACTTTTCAGGGGTATGCCTGTATTCACAACTGTATGCCTAGCACCTGGTACATGGAGAGCTAGTGGCATGCAGTAATTATTTCAGGATGAATGCGTTTTTGTAGCACTTTCAGCTAACACGCTCAAACTTTACCATATTTTTAATTCCTCAAGAAACCTTAAATCTAGCCTAATTTCTTTTTTAAATCACTTGCAAATTTTACTACTGTATTCTTCATAACATTTTATTTTCAATAGCTAGTCATAAAGCTATAGTAAAAAGAACTTTAAAAAAAGATTTCCACTTCCCCTAAGATAAATATAAATGTGTACATCCATGTTTAATGAATGTGACCCACAAGGATGTAGTATTTTAATGAGAATTAATTATTCTCTTAAAAATATTTTGTGCCTTACAAATTCCATAAATGCATATACACATTCCCTGTACTTTCTAATATTTTAATTCTTTGACTAACTTAACAACCATTATTATTTTTACTTGTATGGAAACAAAAATGAATGGACTAAACTAAGTCTCTGAAACAAAAAACACTATTTCATAGGACTGAAAAAAATTAAATTTGAAAGATAAGAATCTAGGCAATAAATTACCGGCAAAGCCATCAACTGTCATAAACAAGATGTTTGGGTCAATTTTCTTTTTTGTTACATCTGGTAACTACATTTAGTAGGAATAATATGAAAATTATTAAAATTATAAATGTTTCATATTTTCACATGAATATTCAATTTTCACATGATTATCAATTTTAACCTTTACCTGTCATCAAGAACTGTAATAATTTCTCCGGCTTTAAAAGTGAGTTCATTATCTTCAGCAGCTTCAAAGTCATATATAGCACGTACTTTCCGACCTTCATGTTGATGGGTAGATAAGAGATTGGATGTACTTGGATACAAACTGGAAAGTGTAGTTGGTTGCTGTCGTTGTTCCTTCAGAGACAACTCAATCGCTGAAAATTATGGATTTTAAAAGACCCAAAGTATTAATATAGCAAACAATCCAAAAGCATACAAAAAGATGTCAGCAGATAATGTGAAAGAATTTAAAGTATTCTTTCAATAATCTTGCTGGAAACTAACACGTGTGTTGATATAATCTGACTAAAAATGATGTTGCTAATTTTATTTACACACTCATAAATAGAAGTCAAAAATAAGTTAACAAAATTATACAGTTTGATTACTTTAATTTTTAAGGAAAGGCTGTATCCAAAATTGTTCTATTTTAGGTAACACAAAGATGCAAAAACTTAGATACTTTTGTTGTTTTTGCTTAATTTAGCTGCTTCCACCCTTTTCATGCCTCCCTAAAATTCCCTAAATGATAATCAGTCACCAGGGAAGTCACTGTTCTAAGCCTCAAAGGTAATCCTTGGAAATCTGCATTTAATTGCTACCAAAGACTTCTGATGCAATTAATCTAAGAACTGAAATTCAAAAACTGTACTAAAGACTCAACTAAGGAATCACTCAGAATAAATCTTAAATATGTCTACTCTTTGGGTCTTCACCACCACTCTCTGAGACAGACTATTACATGTGTCACTCCGGCTGCTGAATTACAAACTTAACATACTCCATTACCCGGCGTCATGCCAATCTCCTAACATTATCATATTAGGGTCTATTTGTCTCTTCCATTCTTTAAGCATATAATGTATTTTCATGGTTTTCATCGGGTGCATAGATATTTATTATGGTTATATCTTCCTATTCATTTGTGGCTTTCATCTTATATAATAGCCCTCTGTCTCTCATGATGGTTTTTACTTTGATGTCTATTTATCAGAAATTAATATTGCTACTCCTGCTTTCTTCTGATTACCATTAGCTTGATTTTTTTTCCATCCTTTTATTTTCAGTCTATCTGTATATCTGAGACATTTCTTGTAAGCAGCATATTATTGACCCATGTTTTCTTATCCATTGTTACTGTCACTTAACTGGTTAATTTTATCCATTGACATTCAGTGTTGTCATTGACAGGTATGGTTTTATTGCTCTTTTTATTTTTTTTATTGTGTTGTTAATTTTCTGTGCTGCTTCCCGTTTGTAGATTTTATCAATTTTTTTTACTTTTTTCTTACTAATTGACAGGATTTTATGGCTTCCCTTTTTTGTTTTGTTTAGGCTTTAACATTTTCTTTAAGATTTGTTCATTTTTATTATTTTCTTTCCAAGTTTATGATAGTTCATTGTCTTTTAAGAAGGACTGAATATCTTCTCTATTTGAGTGTTTATTATCTACTCTGTTCCATCTATTATTTTTTTGTCTTTACTACAGAAATGTTATCTGTGGTTCCTTATTTTGATTTGTATGGTTTTGTTTCACTTTGTGCATTATTTAAGTAGGATGAATTCTCAATATTAATGCCCTATATGATGATTATAGTTTGCTGTCTGTTGTTAATTCTCTGTCCAAAGAAACCCCCTTTAGTATTTTTTGTAAGACCAGTCTTGTTTTTACAAGTTCCTCTAGTTTTAATCGGTGAGGTTTTTAAAGTTTTTATTCTTTGCTGATAAAAAAATCAGTTAGCAAATTTGAAGATATATTTACCCTGTGATCTAACAAATCTACCTTTATTCACACATGATAATGTCATATATATGTATATAAGGAACATGTACAAGGAGACTCACTGTAGCATTATTTATTAATATTATGAAATTAGTAAAGAGTCTATCAGTAGAATAAAATAAATGATCTTGATTTATGTTTCATCACCTCGAACACATCAAGTGAAAACGCCCTACAGAATGGCACCTAGAGTGTAATGCCATTTATGAAATAATGTGATAAATGCAAAGCAGAACTCTGCATTACTTATAAACATAAATATGTAGTAAAATATTATCAAAACAGACTGAAAGTACACATATGGCCGTGGTTGTCTGAGTAAGAGAAGAAGAAAATGACTGAGAAGGAGAACAAAGTAGATTTTGGCTTTGGCTGTAAAGCTCTACTTCATTTCTGAATGTCATAAGAAATAAAAATTAAACCACAGAGGTCTAACGTATTCTCACCATTAGGAACTTAATATACAAACCTTTTGCTAAATCTTCTTCTTCCTTTTTGTTAGCTACCGTGTCCGGGTCCTTGGCTACTAGAGCAGGGCTTGCTTTTGCTTGTTCCGCAGCCTACCACAAGAAAGGAAGATAATCCTTAAAACGCTCATGTTCAGTTCTCCTGCACTTAACTGACATAGAACTTGCAAGACTGCCTTTGCATCAAGCTACCACACTTCTGAAGAAGAGAGAAACTCAAAATGGAAGAATGGCGAGAAGTGGGAAAATTACAAAAAGACCGGGGCAGTCTGTGACTTAAAGATAGTCTAGGCCAGGCATCCGCAACTACAGCCCGCGGGCCACATCTGGCCCACCGAGGACATTTATCCGGCCTGCCAGGTGTTTTTGCCCCGTTTTGGTTTTCTACTTCAAAATAAGTGCAGTGTGCATAGGAATTTGTTCATAGTTTTTTTTTTTTAAACTATAGTCCAGGCTTCCAACGGATCTGAGGGACAACGAACTGGCCCACTGTTTAAAAAGTTTGAGGACCCCTGGTCTAGGCCATAGGTCCCCAAATTTATTTGGTCTACTTCCCCTTTTCTGTGGAAACAAAAGAGTACTAATTGCCCTTTGGCAGTTAAAATTTTTGTATCCAGGTAAAAGTTTGGGTATCTGCACTTGCAACCTCTCCTAACAGTCAGCCTCCTCCAGGGGTAGTATTGTCCATTTTTGGGGAAGCACTGTTCTAGGTTCGCCTTCCCAGTTCTCTACTAAGAGATTAAGCATGTAACGTAAAGATGGAAAAGTAAACAGAGGCGACTTTTATATTTGTAAAAAATTCAAAGGAGTTGAAAGTTAAGGAAGTTGGAATCTAGTAAAGGAGGTGGAAGAGGGACAAAGATATATATTATAAAAACAAATGGTCAAAAATATATTTTTTCACTTTATATTTTATTTTATTGGTTCACTATATCTTTAATTTACTGATCCTTTTCAGATCAAAACTTTCTTTAGAGGCTCAGTTTTTTTTATAATACATAACAATATAAAAGCTCACAAAATTATCCTATTGGTAAATTAATATATAAGTAGTTTGCCAATATGTGAATTTACTGGCTATCTTAAACATGTTTTATAAATAAGATAGTACACAAATAAACAACCAGACTCCGCCTAGCTTATTAGTCTCATTTCTAACCATTCTATCAGTTAGTAGAAACTGATAGTAGAAAATGAGCAGCAGTACTTCCACACCCCCGACATGCCTTTGTTTCTAGTTAAAAATGCCCCACTACTTCATCTTCATTTGTAGGCTTCATTTTTTGTCCCTGATGAGTTTCATATTCTCTACAAAAATTCGCTGGTTGCCTTACTCAAACATTTCCTCCTCTTTGTTCCTTTGATGACATTTTAAACAAGGCACTATCATATGATTTAAGAGTGCAAACTTGAAGTCTAACAGATAGGGGTTCAAATCCATGGCTACTGTTGTGAGGAATGTATGATCAATTAACCTACATTATTTTGCACAAAATGACACCTTACTTAATACACGTTTTAGAAAGTATTCTGAGAGTCGTAAGAGTCAACTATCAAATTTGAGTATTTCTCAAAATTAATATTTATCATTCTATAAACCTATTCAAAAATCACACTTTCCCCAGGGTAAAAGAAAATGTTCCGTCCTCTCCTTTCCTTTCCGCCCGTATCTTGCCAAATCTTCCCATCTTTAAAGTGCTCAGATGGACTAGCCATGCCTTGAGAACACAAGCTACATATAAGTTTGTCAAAACTTCTCAGTTGGGCTCTTCCACAGTGGCGAAGTTTATGTTTATGGTTTCACACCACTCACTACATTCGGTCCCCATCCACAGTAAGGGGAAAGTAAGTGAATTAGCACACATTATAGGAACCTGGACTCACTCAGCATTCTAACAGGGCAGCAAAGAAATTTTTTTTAAAGTTAACCCTCGCCTTTTTCCTGTCATATAAGCTGCACACTGATTCTACTAGATACACTGAAGGAAAAGTTAGATTTTCAGGCAATCACGACAGTTGGAAGAAAAGGCAGTCAGCTGCTTTTAAAGAGTTTTGTTTCTCTTCCCTTTGGACTCTGGCTTGTATCTCCTTCTCGACAGGTTATTTGCAAATTTTCAAGAAAAGTGATCATTTGACTTATGCCTACACGTTAAGAATCTCATTTTTGAGCTGCAATTCTTTGTATTTGAAATTATAGCACTGAGAACATTTCATAAGGCTGTCATATAATAAAGTAATTACTACCTCTATTTTCTAATGGACATACAAAATTGTTAAGTATAATGATGTCAAGGTAAAGCAAATGCTAGGACAATTCATTTATAGAGAGAGAAGCAGTGGAAAAGTACTTGTTTATAGTACACGAATTACACTGGAGGAACTCAAATGAGCAGTTTTGACAAAACACATTCATATTTTTCTAGTCCTTTCAAATGCAGGACTACTGTTATTAACAAAATGTCCTCTGCAATAATCAAAACCCCCTGGGTTTGAAGCAACAAGAGGGAAGTCACAAATAAATACCACTGTTTTAGAGAAAAGGAGCCCTGGGGGAACAAATCAGGGGTTCAAATCCCCCTGCTGCTCCAAGAGAACAAGAGGGAACGGTCTGCTTCGGTGACCAGGAGTCAGAATCACCTTGACAGCAACGGGTTATTTTACAGCAACAAACAGCCACACACACATTGCTTTTCCAAAATACCTGTGAGCCAACAGCTGGGAAGGTAACTCCTTGTTCCTTAAGGTTTTTAATCATTGCTGATATTAAACTAAGTTGTGGGTCATTCTTAAATTCATCTGTCCATTCAACCATCAGAGCTTTCAATTTTTCACATACTTTAGGATGACCCTAAAGAATTTTTAAAAAGTTAATAAATAGCGTTATCTCGTTTGAAACCACAAATTACCCCTAGTGATAGACTAGACACGTGCGAATAAACAAGCCTGGTTGGCTGCAATAAATGTACTACAATTATGTTTGTGCGATAACAGCAGGTACCACCACAGTTGCCGCACTTCAAAATTAATAGGTTAAATAACTTATTTTGATGAACATAAACACAGAACTTTTCAGAATACTATGTACTTAAAGCTTGGTAAATCAGGAAGAGGCCCCCACCCCAACCCCCAAAATGGTTTTTTTTTGACCAATTAAAAATATACATTCATTGGAAAGAGAAGTTCCATGATACAGTTTTCCTTTACACTTAATCCCTACATTTTAATATGTATTAAATTTAAAGAGGGTGTTTTCCCATGCAGCTTAAATATCCGAGGCCTAATGTTTCTAGGTAGCTGTGAGTTGGAATCGACCCAACAGTGGTGGGTTGTTGGTGCTAATCATCCTGGGACTTTCAATTCTTCAAAGTAACATTTCCGCCCTCAAGTGTAAAGTCAACGATATCATTGGAAAACATATATGTATATGTATATGTGTGTGTATATATATAACATACCCATATATAGTTTCTTGTTTTAAAAAACAACTGTGTAGACCACTATATAACCAAGTTTGCATATTACATCTTCTCAACTTATAGTAAAAAGGACATTAGAATCTCTTTATACATACTTGCACATTTTGCTGGACATTCAGGATGTTAAAAAATGTTTTAAATTAGTAGCAATTATGTTTAAGTGTAACTGAATATTCAGTTATTCTAGGAAAAGAGGAAAAGATTATTGTGTAATCGTATTTGAAAAGAAGTAGACACATTGAAAAGGACTGAATTTCTTAACTAAATTTCTGCTGAAAATACTTCTTTTCCTGAAAAAGGCATTTTCTCTTCTTCTACTTCCTAATATTTTCTTGACATGTCATACAAAAGTCTGAAATAATTACCTTTATAATGCCTAAAATTTTTACTATGAAAGTTTACATACTATCTACTACTTTAAAGATTTGAATTATTTTTCTACATGTAATTACCTGGATGGTACAAATACACGTACAAAAACCGTGCTTAAAGTATACTGACATTATTTAGCCTGATAGAGACATACATGTTTCCTTTTTCAGTGACAAAAAAGAGGTCAAGTATACTCTTGAAATAACTCTCAAAGAGAAGTGAATGTCCAGTCTCTTAAGTAGAACAGAACCCTCACTTAAATATTGAATAGCCAGTGTCCAGAAAGGGTAAAAAGAAGAACAAAGCAGTCCTTCCTGACGGAGCCCTACTGGCACTATGGTTAATTGCTCAGACAATAATCAAAAAGATCAACGGTTCAAACACACCAGCTACAGAAGAAGAGTTGGAGACTTGCTTTAGTAAAGATGCCAGCACTGAAAACCCTACGAGGCAATTCTATGGTGACTCTATGGTACATAACAAAAGTCCTCTAGGATTTCAAATGTAGAGAATTTGACCAAAAATATATATGGAGTAAGAAGGGTGCTTCAACTTGCTCTCTGGAAATAATGTTCCTTACCTTACTTCCTTACCTTATTTAATACGTTGCTTACTTCACTAGCAAAATCTCTTGAACATACTTCTAAATGAAAAATTTTCCCACAGTTTGATACACATGCTCCCAGAAGCTAAAAGCATAAAATTAGAAGTGAAGAATTCATGAAAAATGAATCTCAACGTTGGCAGACAATGTCGTGGTATAATTTAAAATGAAGCCACTCACAGTCAGAGCTTGCATAGCAACATGAGGATCTTTATGGTTTACCCTCCTCATAATAGATCGAAGGCAATCTTTAGGTCTAAAAAAGAGAATATTTAACTGTAGTTAGGTAACACAGTACAATACCAAAGGGAAAATAAAGAGGTTCGATTTTACATACTTTAAAACTGTAAACACTATTCCTTTAAATTTTTCAATCAGAATTAATAGGCTTATTCAGCAAATCATAGGTTAGTATTTCTTGCTAATACTGGGTGGCAAAAAATCTAGAAACTAAAATGGCCAGCAATGGTCAGCAAAACTTCCACTTCCAGTCATAGCAGATACAGGAACTAGACTTACACTTCAGTTGCAAATACATATTTAAAAATGTTGGTTTGGGAACATAGGCTCACAAGGAGTGCAGTAAAAGTGTCCCAAGGAAAGACAATGAACAGTGGCCTCTGCCTCCACACCCTGGCCAGAGGCACTCCTAGAATTCCAAGCGGGCTTTTTGTCTAGGAGCAGTTTCTGTATCTCAGTGAGGAAAGATGACCCCAAGAGCACTGAGGTGAAGAGACAGAAATGGATTTTGAGGACAGCTAAGGGAGGTGGACTTTACTGGGCAGAGTTGAGGGAATTATGTAAAAGAAAGTGTTTAAATAACCACATTACGGTTACCTAGAGTCTGTTGCCCACCACTTGTCTGTCAGTTTGTCATACTGAGGTAGCTTGTGGGTTGCTGTAGTGCTAGAAGCTATGTCACTGGTATTTCAAATCCCAGCAGCATCACCCAAAATGAACAGGCTTCAGCAGAGCTTCCAGACTGAGAGGCTATAGGGAAGGAATCAGCTGCCCACGTCAGAGGAAATAGCCACTGAAAATCCTATGTATAACATGGAAACACTGTCAGACTCTGAAGACCTCTGCACGAAAGCAGAACACTGTCAGCGACAGAGCCAGAAGATGGACCCGTTGGGTCGGAAGGAAGGTACTCAAAATTGGGACTGAGAAGTAGAAACAACCCTGCTGACAAGAGTGCAGTAAGTCCTGTGGGAGCAGAGACCTCGGGCTCTTCCTTTGATGGTAGGGCTCAACTCAAGGTGAGAAAAAGCAGTTGTACAAATCTGCTAATAATTAGAACTTGGAAAATGCAAAGTATGAATCTAGGAAAATTGGATGTTGTGAAAAATGAAACGCAACAAGAAAGATCAATATCCTAGGCATTAGTGAGGCGAAACTGACCGGTATTGGCCATTTTGAGTCAGAATGACAGAATGAAGAGGAATGGTGTTCTAGTGGTTATCAAAAAGCCCATTTCAAGGTCTACCTTTAAGTACGATGCCATCTGTAATAGGATTATATCTATCCATCTTCAAGGAAATCCAATCAATACAATTATTCAAATTTTTCCACCAATCGCAAAAGCTAGTGATAAAGAAATTGGGAGAATTCTACTAATGACTTCAGTAGGAAATTGATCAAACATGCAATCAAGATGTATTTATAATTATTGGTCATTAGAATGCAAAAGTAGGCAACAAAGAGGAAGGAATAACAGTTGGAAAAGATGGGCTTGGTAATAGAAATGAAGCTGAAGACTGCATGGTAAAATTTGCAAGACAATTTGTTCACAGCTAAAAGCTTTTTCAACAGCACAAACGGCCATGATACACATGGCCTTCTCGAGCTGGAATGTACAGAAACAAACTGACTACATCTGTGGGAGGAGATCATCAAGAGGCTCAATAGCAGCTAAAACCAGGCCGGAAGCTCACTGTGGAATAAACCATCAATTGCTCATCTGTAAGTTCAGGTTGAAGGTGAAGAACATTGAAAGAAGTTCAAAGAGCCAAAATGCGATCTTGAGTCCATCCCACTTGAAATTCAAAAACATCTAAAGAAAATGTTTGGTACACTGAACACAAATGACAGATCTGATGAGCTCTGGGATGACAACAAAATACCATTCATGAAGAAAGCAAACGGTCATTAAAAAGATAGAAAATAAAGACAAACTCAAAGTGGATGTCAGAAGAGACTCTGACACTTGCTATAAATCATAGAGTCACTAAGGCAAATGGGAGAAATGATAAAGTCAAGGAGCTGAACAGAAAACGTCAAAGGACAGCTCGAGAGGACAAAGTAAAATATTATAATGACATGTTCAGAATTTAAAAGTTAGAAAACAAAAAAGAACATGCTTAGCATATCTTAAATTGAAAGAACTCAAAAAATCAGAGCTTCGTGTTGCATTATTGAAAGATTCTATGGGCAAAATATTGAACGATGCAGGAAGCATCAAAAGATGGAGGGAATATCAGGGGTTCCCCCCCCCCACCGCGCACAAATGAAACATACGCTGCAGGGTGGGGCTTCCATAGTATGCATTTTTCCTGTTAGAAGAGCAAGAATGGAATCGCAGATTTGACAAATGTATTAAGTGTAATGGAGAGTACTTTGAAGATGATATAGTTGTTTTGTAAAAAAACTTAAATACATAGCTGGGGGAGGGGAGGGCGGGAATTCCAGGGTTTTTTTGGATACTCCCTTGTACACAGTCGTTGTACCAAAAAGAACGAGTTGACACCCCACTATTTCAGGAGGTAGCATATGATCAATATACAATGGTACTGAAGGAAGGAGTTAAAGCTACACTGAAAATATTAGCCAAAAGCATGGCTCCAGGAATTGATGGAATACCAACTGAAATATTTCAGCAAGCTGATGAAGCACTGGAAACACTTACTCATCTACGTCAGGAAACTTGAAGATAGCTACTTGGCCAACTGTACCCATATTTGTACCTGTTCCAAAGAAAGTTGACCCCCCCCCACAAAAGATGCTCAAATTATAGACTATTATCATTGATATCACATTCAAGTAACATTTTGTTGAAGGTCATTCAGCAGTACATTGATAAGCAGCTGCCAGAGGTTAGGCTGGATTCAGAAGAGGACAGGGAACAAGGGATATCATTGCTGATGTCAGATGGATCTTCACTGAAAGCAGAGAATACCAGCAAGATGTTGGACAATTTGATTGTGGACAATAATAAACTGTGGATAAGCCTTGAGAAGAATGACAATTCCAGAACACTTCATTGTGCTCATGAGAAGGAATTTGTACATGGATCAAGAAGCAATGGTGTGAACAGAACATGGGAATGAGCTATGGTTGTATCCCCTCATCGTACCTGTTTTATATCTGTATGCTGAGCAAGTCATCAGAGAAGCTGGCTTCTATGAAGAAGAAGGTGGCATCAGGTTTGGAGGAAGGCTTACCAACAACCTGCGATATGCAAATGAGACAACCCTGTTTGCCGAACCTGAGTAAGACTTAAAGCACTTACTGATGAAGATCAAGGATTGTCGCCTTCAGTATGGAATGTCGCCTTCAATGTAAAGACCAAAATCCTCATAACGGGACCAACAGACAACATCATGATACATGGAGAAAAGGTTGCAGTTGTCAAGGATTTTATCTTGCTTGGTTTCACAATCAATGCTCATGGAAGATGCAGTCAAGAGATCAAAAGATGCATTGCTCTGGTAAATCTGTTGCAGAAGACCTTTTTAAAGTATTGAAGAGCAAGGACGTTGCTTTGAGGACTAAAGTGCGCCGTGGTATTTTCGATGATCTCACGGGCATGTGAAAATTGGACACTGAATAAGGAAGACTGAAGAAGAATCCATGCATATGAATTGTGGGGCTGGAGGATACTGAAAGTATGGACTGCCAAAAGGACAAACAAGTCTATCTTGGAAGAAGGACAGCCAGAGTGGTCTTTAGAGGCAAAGATGGGGAGCCTACATCTAACGTACTTTGGACACGTTGTCAGGAGAGATAACATGTACTAGAAGCAGGGGAGTTCCTGCAGCTCACAGTTTTCAGAGTTCAGGGCAATAAGAGAAGCATAAGTGCATAAGAGTTCAGCTGCCATACCACAGGCAGTAGGCCTCAGTAATGGGTGTACTCAGTAAAGTATACCTAGAAGAATCTACTAAAATCTACCCTTTAACAGCTCCAAAATATGCCATGAAAAAATAAAGTTCATCCAAATTACTCGACAGAAGAAGCAGGAAAGTGTGTAGGATGTAACAAGGAGAAATGACAGAGGTGATGAAATTAGCAGCTGAGGATTTTACATACACTGTTAGAAACAACATCAGAAATATGTCAAATACCAATACAATAGAAATGAAATGCTATAAAAAACAGAACTATGTGAATTTCTAGAAGTACATGAGTAATTCATTATATGGTATTAATACAGAAATGACGGGAAGATCCATAAAGTTGTAAGCATCGTGATAGAAAGCAAACTGAAGGTACAGACACAATAAAACCCAAAGAGCAGCCACTAAAAATATTTTAGTAGGTATACAATAAAAACAAATATAGCTTAGAGAATCATAATAAATATGACATAAATTCCTGAAAATAAAGAAATACACATACACATACCCCCCAAAAAAAACTGCTAGCAAGGTGGCAATTTTTAATCTACCCATGTCAATAATCATATTAATTGTAAACTGCCTCAATACATCAATTACAAACTTGAAATCTATTAGACTGGATTAAAGTGACTAAATTTTATCATGTTTTGCTACAACAAAAGATAATTACAGCAGTCTCTAGCAAAGTGTGCTGTCAACTGTGAGTTTTGGAGAATACCGGAATTATATTATTTAGGATTACTTGGGTATCCTTTTCAAAAGAGAAAAAATTTAATATAAAATGTACTTCAACAAGTTCAAGTTTACGAGCTCAAATTAGGGGGAGAAGTAATCAAGTTTATAATATCCTTTCACCCATCGCATTTCACCTTCCTCAACAGCATTAGTTCATTCTGGCCTCACACCCTTCCAGTGTGCTGTCCAGCACTCCCCCACCATCCTCCTTGCAGTAAAAGCTTACTCATCTTGCAAGTCACAGCTTAAGCATCGATTACACTGGACAGCTTTCTGATATTATCAACTGCTCCCCGACCCCAACCTGAGCCCAGAATGTTTGCTTATGCCAGCTGCAGACTGAAATAGACAGTTCAGTCTGCTAGGTGATAATTATAAAAGTTAACAATCAGGGAGTACCATC